CAGATGGTGGAGCTGGCAGATAGAAATTCATCCAACTTGATGAAACATACGCAGCGAGTCGAGACGTTTTCACGCTTCATGGCGGATTGTTGGCTGTGGCTGATTTTACTGATAATCGGAGTGACGTTCGTCGGAATGGTTTTGTTTATCCGACTTTTTCCAGCTCGCCGGTACTAAAATCGCTTAAAGATTTTCTTGCTTTTGCTGAATATAATACTGTAGTGATAAAAACCTGCGTATCTATGAACGATGGCTTATCACGGTAGTAAACCCTTAACGTTTGTATCTTACGGCTCGTTCTCCAAGGATCTTCATGTAATGTTACTGGCTGGTTACTGCGTGTGTAATTGTTGTAACTGGACATCGGTTTTCTAAGTGCAGCCAGCTTAAAGGCAACTCAGTCTGGTACTCTTGGAAGGGACGTCTGCTGAGGATTACTTTGTACTGGACAGCGAACCAAGTAATGACCGGATTTTTATTTTGCTACCAGGAACAGTTTACCACCGATGTTGCAGTCGTCGAATTGGTGCGCTAATGTAAGATGTAAAATTTCTATTGTTGTTTCGGCAGTTATATCAGATTCACACAAAAGTAGTGCGCCTATGTTCTTATATTGGTATTTGCGTTACAGACCAGCAACGATGAAATGCATAATGGTAGATGTTTTAAAACATAATCACGCGTCTTAAATCATGCGTGATTATTTCATTGCTGGCAGTGCAACTATCGAAACGTTCAGACAAACGGCCTTCTCGAAAGATACTAAACGGTTTTTATTTTAATCTTGAAAATCTGAATACTTGCTACTCGCTTTCGTGTTAGAGAAGCACTTACAGCGTGCGTTTGAGAAAATTTCCGAAATCAATGACTGCCTTCTGCAATAGCTTGTAGCGGGTTCAGAATATACCTGCGGAATATTCGAGGGCGAAGCCTCCTAGCCGAACAAGCAGTAATTGGCTGGCATAACGTTACCGACATTCCACGAATTTCGTTGATCGCCGAGAATTGGCTTCCGGTAGGTAGCGATTGCCCATTCGAGAACAATAAGTTCTCCTTTATTAAGAGATCAGCCATCATTAGAGATCAAGTGTATGCTCATTATTTTGTTCGTCTGGTTGTGTAGTTGTCCAATAAATCGTTGTTAGGTCTCGACTTGGGAAGCATCGAGCTTCGGTTCACTGATGCGGAAGACCATTGGTTCGGCAGCCCCGACGCTATATTTTGAAAATACGTAGATTGATTGCTTAGGTCGATATCACATGAGAAAGCAAAAATGTTCTGCTCTAGAAACTTGGAATTGCTTTCATGTCATCCTTGAATGCTTTCCCAAAATATATCATGCTGTAAGAAGTTTGCATCGACGACTCAAGTTCTTCACTTACATCATCCTTCAAAATGGAAGTAAGACGTTGGTCTGCAAAGGACTAAAGCCTGTACAAAGCGAATACTCTGCAATATTTCGCTGATCAACTACAACTGCCACTAAAAGAAAAAACGCTGATCCTATTCAGTGGATCGTCAGAACAGTTAATTCTCATTCGAGTCACATTTAGAAAAATCAACGAACTTGACGCGTCACGTCTCGATTACCAAAGGAGTATTACCGAAATTTTTAATCGCTAGTTAGACAGTTAGTGTTTCTCTAGGCCTTGTACTTTGTATCATAACATACCATTTTATATCAAGTTAAGTGAGAATAAACCTTTTCTTTACTCTGTTCTTTGTATGTTATAAATTATGAAACAACGATCTAACAGTCGCCCACTACTCAGATTTTACTTGATCAAAGGCGAGAAATGCGCGTGGGCAATTTCGCAGCTGCCTTCAGTAAATTAATCGATGGCGAATGAGGCGCAGCAGCGT